GTTGGAGGTAAATCAAAAATCACTTCTCCAAAATTCATTTTTATTTCTAGTCTAAGAAATAGAACTAGAAATTAAGACTAGAAATAAAAATGAATTTTGGAGAAGTGATTTTTTATTTACCTCCAACAGTGAAGCGTAATGTACGAAAGATTGAGAAAATTCGTGTTAGAATTATTAATCTTACTTTTTCGGTCATATTTAATAATATATATATATATATATATATATATATATATATATATATATATATATATATATATATGTCGTACCTAGTAGCCAGAACTCACTTCTCAGCCTACTATGCAAGGCCCGATTTGCCTAATAAGCCAAGTTTTCCTAAATTAATATATTTTCTCTATTTTTTTTCTTATGAAATGATAAAGCTACCCATTTCATTATGTATGAGGTCAATTTTTTTTTATTGGAGTTAAAATTAACGTAGATATATGACCGAACCTAACCAACCCTACCTAACCTAACCTAACCTATCTTTATACGTTAGGTTAGGTTAGGTAGCCGAAAAAGTTAGGTTAGGTTAGGTTAGGTAGGTTAGGCAATCGAAAAACTATTAATTCATGAAAACTTGGCTTATTAGGCAAATGAGGCCTTGCGTAGTAGGCTGAGAAGTGCGTTCTGGCTACTAGGTACGACATATATATATATATATATATATATATATATTATATGTCGTACCTAGTAGCCAGAACGCACTTCTCAGCCTACTATGCAAGGCCCGATTTGCCTAATAAGCCAAGTTTTCATGAATTAATTGTTTTCGACTACCTAACCTACCTAACCTAACCTAACCTAACTTTTTCGGCTACCTAACCAAGCCTAACCTATAAAGATAGGTTAGGTTAGGTTAGGTAGGGTTGGTTAGGTTCGGTCATATATCTACGTTAATTTTAACTACAATAAAAAAAAATTGACCTCATACATATTGAAATGGGTAGCTTTATCATTTCATAAGAAAAAAATTAGAAAAAATATATTAATTCAGGAAAACTTGGCTTATTGGCAAATCGGGCCTTGAATAGTAGGCCAAAAAGTGAGTTCTGGCTACTAGGTACGACATATATATATATATATGTCGTACCTAGTAGCCAGAACTCACTTCTCAGCCTACTATTCAAGGCCCGATTTGCCTAATAAGCCAAGTTTTCCTGAATTAATATATTTACTATAATTTTTTTCTTATGAAATGATAAAGCAACCCTTTTCTCTATGTATGAGGTCAATTTTTTTTTTTTTGAGTTAAAATTAACGTAGATATATGACCGAACCTAACCAACCCTACCTAACCTAACCTAACCTATATTTATATGTAAGGTTAGGTTAGGTAGCCAAAAAAAGCTAGGTTAGGTTAGGTTAGGTAGGTTAGGTAGACGAAAAAACATTAATTCATGAAAACTTGGCATATTAGGCAAATCGGGCCTTGAATAGTAGGCTGAGAAGTGCGTTCTGGCTATTAGGTACGACATATATATATATATATATATATATATATATATATGTGTGTGTGTATATATATGTCGTACCTAGTAGCCAGAACGCACTTCTCAGCCTAATATGCAAGGCCCAATTTGTCGTACCTAGTAGCCAGAACGCACTTCTCAGCCTACTATGCAAGGCCCAATTTGCCTAATAAGCCAAGTTTTCATGAATTAATTGTTTTTCGACTACCTAACCTACCTAACCTAACCTAACCTAACTTTTTCGGCTACCTAACGTAACCTAACCTATAAAGATAGGTTAGGTTAGGTTAGGTTAGGTAGGGTTGGTTAGGTTCGGTCATATATCTACGTTAATTTTAACTCTAATAAAAAAAATTGACCTCATACATAATGAAATGGGTAGCTTTATCATTTCATAAGAAAAAAATTTGAGAAAATATATTAATTCAGGAAAACTTGGCTTATTAGGCAAATCGGCCCTTGCATAATAGGCTGAGAAGTGCGTTCTGGCTACTAGGTACGACATATATATATATATATATATATATATATATATATATATATATATATATATATATATATATATATATATATATATATATATATATACTTCCCTAGTAATGCAGGTAGTACTCCTCATCATAGGGCGCCTGACAGCTGAGTGGACAGCGCTTCGGATTCATAGTCCTGAGGTTCCGGGTTCGATTCCCGGTGGAGGCGGAAACAATTGGGCAAAATGTTTTCTTTCACCCTGATGCCCCTGTTCCCTAGCACTAAATAGGTACCTGGGAGTTAGCTGCTACGGGCTGCTTCCTGGGGGTGTGTAACAAAAAGGACGCCTGGTCGAGGACCGGGCCGCGGGGACGCTAAGCCCCGAAATCATCTGAAGATAACCTCAAGATGACCTTAGTTGTTTCATGTGTTCACGTCAACAACCTGATATCGACTTCAACAATAGTCGATATCTAATATTATTCTTATTGACTTGTGGGATATTATCAATATTATTATTATTTACTATTATTAAAATTACGTTATTGAATTTTGTATTTTGTATTCCTAGGTGGTGATATTTGCTGATAACTTATACTTCCAAAGTATATTATATGGTTATTATTCATCTTAAGGTTTGCTTTGACCTTTACCTAAAACAGCAAACCCGTTCTCCCACTAGGCTGGTTAAAGCAGCGGCCGTCCTCCCCAGACGCATTCATCAATTTTAACATACTGTGTATTAAAAATTGGTTTGTTCTCATATATAAGTTAATATTTTTATACATAAAAATTGTATGTATAGTTTGGCATAGGTTAGGTATTTAGGTTCTGTTGGTAATGATTTGTATTTGAAGTACGTGGATGAAGCATTTATTGAATTGTAGTTCGAACAGAGGACGTGAGCGAAGCACTTGTTCCGGAAGTGTTCGGACGTCATCAGTTGTGAGTCGAGTGTAAACAGTTTTTCATTCATAAACAGGGCGTTTGGCGGCTGGATTAACGAGCTTGGATCTTTGTATACGAGAACGGGTTGAAAACAGCTTAGGGTGGAAGTCTTGAAGGTATCTGAAGCAACCCGTCCTCGACTCAAGTCCATTACATCCAGCGGTCGACCCCACAAACGCATTCATAAATTTGTACATGCTGTTCATTCAAAACGGGAATTTTCTCAAATATAATTTAATATTATAATATATTAGCGTATTGTGCATATATAGGCATAGGATAGGTTAGGTGTTTAGGTTCTGTTGGCGATTATTTTGTATTTGTAGTCCGTGGGTGAAGCATTTACAGTGTTGTGGCTCGAAGAAAATTCGTCAGTGAAGCACTTGTTCCGGAAGTTTTCGAACGTCAGCAGTTGTGAGTCGTGTGTAAACAGTTTTTCATTCATAAACACCTGGGGGTTTGGCGGGTGCCTGGAATCACTTTTGGGTTCTTTGGAGGACGGGCTGGTATACACGACTCACAACTAATGACCTCCGAACACTTCCGGAACAAGTGCTTCGTTGACGACTTTTGTTCGAGCCACAACGCTGTAAATGGTTCACCATCGTACTACAAATACAAATAATCGCCAACAAAATCTAAACACCTAGCCTAAAGAAATGCCTAAATTTACACTATTCTAATATTTAACAATATTAATTTACATTTGAGAACATTCCTATTTTTAATGAACTGCATGTTAAATTGATGAATGCGTATTTGGGGGTCGACCGCTGAATGGGATGGACATGGTCTGAGGACGGGTTGCTAGACAAGGAGTCGCCAGCCTTCAGGTAACTTCAAGATGACTTTACTCCATCTCTCTTTGGCAAAGATCAAAGAAAAGTCTGAGGAGGAATAATTGCTTTTTTCTATAATTTGGAGGCTTGAGAAATTAGAAAATAGGACCAGCGTCCAGGAACAAAACTTGTGTTACTGGTATTGGATGTTTTGTGATATTTATTTATTTTATCATTCACATTCTTCTACAAAGTAGAACAACACATTTTCTGTCCAGTTTTGTGTTACCATTCTGGTGTTGTCTGTCGCTTGCTGTGACCAGGTGAAGTTAGTGGGGCAAGTTTCTGAAATACTATTTTGCCATTCACCATTCATCTCCCTACTGTATAAGTGGCTTAAATTATAATATTTTTATGATTTATTATTCAAAGATAAATTCAAATTGTTTATATGGTTAAGAAACTGAACAACATTGGTCACTATTTACCTGTAGGGCGGAGTGGCAAATGGCCATTACCCCTAACAACTACAGTTTTCCAATATTTGACATACATATCAAAATATAAACTTTAACTTTACATACTAAAACTGAATTTAAAAAGTTCAATGTTCTTTGAAATATTAAGAGAGCACCTGAAGCTCCAGAGAAGAAAATTATGTACATTACAAAACTTTGCTTCACCACTACAAATCTGTAAGAACCATTTAGTGAACTTATAACCACACACTCTGTAATCTTCCCCAATTTCTGCATTATGCGTAATTTTCTACATTTCCGTGACTGCAAAAATATATACTTAAATGATGTTTGCGCACGAGGGTGTATGTGTAGAGGACGATGGTGTATGTGTGTGTGTGTGTGTGTGTAGAGAGAGGACGATGGTGTGTGTGTGTGTGTGTAGAGGACGATGGTGTGTGTGTGTGTGTGTGTAGAGAGAGGACGATGGTGTGTGTGTGTGTGTGTAGAGAGGACGATGGTGTGTGTGTGTGTGTGTGTAGAGGACGAGGGTGTATGTGTGTGTGCGTGTGTGTACAGCACGAGGGTGTACATGCATCTAATTCCCATCTGTTATAATTTGTATGAATGTGTTACTCTACTCTGGAAGGCAGTGTTGTTAAGGTACGAACAAGAGTGCATATATATAACTTGATATTTTTAAACATGTTTTGGAGATATTTCTTTCTTTAATAAAGATTTCACTTGAATAATTTTTACCTTTAGGACAAACTTGTTAATTCATTTGTTTCGTTAATAATTAATATCTTCTTGTACTCGTTGGTAACTTGGTAACTTGTTCTTGGTAACTAACATGTTCTGGTTGTCAGGTCCGCTGGTATCGGTGCGCGTGGCTCGCGGCGACACAGCCAGGCTACCATGCAGGTACCCACGACAAGATGACGACACAGTGAGCTTGGTACTGTGGTACCTCAACCACACCTCCAGACCCTTCCTCAGGTGAGTGTTGCCTCCCTCCCCCCCCCCTCCTCAGGTGAGTGTTGCCTCCCTCCCCCCCCCCTCCTCAGGTGAGTGTTGCCTCCCTCCCCCCCCCCCTCCTCAGGTGAGTGTTGCCTCCCTCCCCCCCCCCCTCCTCAGGTGAGTGTTGCCTCCCTCCCCCCCCCTCCTCAGGTGAGTGTTGCCTCCCTCCCCCCCCCCTCCTCAGGTGAGTGTTGCCTCCCTCCCCCCCCTCCTCAGGTGAGTGTTGCCTCCCTCCCCCCCCCTCAGGTGAGTGTTGCCTCCCTCCCCCCCCCCCCTCAGGTAAGTGTTGCCTCCCCCCCTCCTCAGGTGAGTGTTGCCTCCCTCCCCCCCCTCCTCAGGTGAGTGTTGCCTCCCTCCCCCCCCTCCTCAGGTGAGTGTTGCCTAACTCCCCCCTCCTCAGGCGAGTGTTGCCTCCCTCCCCCCCCCTCCTCTGGTGAGTGTTGCCTCCCCCCCCTCCTCAGGTGAGTGTTCCCTCCCTCCCCCCCCTCCTCGGGTGAGTGTTGCCTCCCCCCCCCCTCCTCAGGTGAGTGTTGCCTCCCTCCTCCCCCCCTCCTCAGGTGAGTGTTGCCTCCCCCCCCTCCTCAGGTGAGTGTTCCCTCCCTCCCCCCCCTCCTCGGGTGAGTGTTGCCTCCCCCCCCTCCTAAGGTGAGTGTTGCCTCCCTCCTCCCCCCCCCCCCTCCTCAGGTGAGTGTTGCCTCCCTCCCCCTCCTCAGGTGAGTGTTCCCTCCCTCCTCCTCAGGTGAGTGTTGACTCCTTCCCCCCCCCCTCCTCAGGTGAGTGTTGCCTCCCTCCCCCCCCCTCCTCAGGTGAGTGTTGCCTCCCTCCCCCCCCCTCAGGTGAGTGTTGCCTCCCTCCCCCCCCCCCCCCTCCTCAGGTGAGTGTTGCCTCCCTCCCCCCCCTCAGGTGAGTGTTGCCTCCCTCCCCCCCCTCCTCAGGTGAGTGTTGCCTCCCTCCCCCCCCCTCCTCAGGTGAGTGTTGCCTCCCTCCCCCCCCCCCCCTCAGGTGAGTGTTGCCTCCCTCCCCCCCCCCTCCTCAGGTGAGTGTTCCCTCCCTCCCCCCCCTCCTCAGGTGAGTGTTGCCTCCCTCCCCCCCCTCCTCAGGTGAGTGTTGCCTCCCTCCCCCCCCTCCTCAGGTGAGTGTTCCCTCCCTCCCCCTCCTCCTCAGGTGAGTGTTGCCTCCCTCCCCCCCCTCCTCAGGTGAGTGTTGCCTAACTCCCCCCTCCTCAGGCGAGTGTTGCCTCCCTCCCCCCCCCCTCCTCGGGTGAGTGTTGCCTCCCCCCCCTCCTCAGGTGAGTGTTCCCTCCCTCCCCCCCCCTCCTCGGGTGAGTGTTGCCTCCCCCCCCTCCTCAGGTGAGTGTTGCCTCCCTCCTCCCCCCCCTCCTCAGGTGAGTGTTGCCTCCCTCCTCCCCCCCTCCTCAGGTGAGTGTTGCCTCCCCCCCCTCCTCAGGTGAGTGTTGCCTCCCCCCCCTCCTCAGGTGAGTGTTCCCTCCCTCCCCCCCCTCCTCGGGTGAGTGTTGCCTCCCCCCCCCTCCTAAGGTGAGTGTTGCCTCCCTCCTCCCCCCCCCCCCTCCTCAGGTGAGTGTTGCCTCCTTCCCCCTCCTCAGGTGAGTGTTCCCCCTCCCTCCTCCTCAGGTGAGTGTTGACTCCTTCCCCCCCCCCTCCTCAGGTGAGTGTTGCCTCCCTCCCCCCCCCTCCTCAGGTGAGTGTTGCCTCCCTCCCCCCCCCCTCAGGTGAGTGTTGCCTCCCTCCCCCCCCTCCTCAGGTGAGTGTTGCCTCCCTCCCCCCCCTCAGGTGAGTGTTGCCTCCCTCCCCCCCCTCCTCAGGTGAGTGTTGCCTCCCTCCCCCCCTCCTCAGGTGAGTGTTCCCTCCCTCCCCCTCCTCCTCAGGTGAGTGTTGCCTCCCTCCCCCCCCTCCTCAGGTGAGTGTTGCCTCCCTCCCCCCCCTCCTCAGGTGAGTGTTCCCTCCCTCCCCCCCCTCCTCCTCAGGTGAGTGTTCCCTCCCTCCCCCCCCTCCTCAGGTGAGTGTTCCCTCCCTCCCCCCCCTCCTCAGGTGAGTGTTGCCTCCCCCCCCCCCTCCTCAGGTGAGTGTTGCCTCCCTCCCCCCTCCTCAGGTGAGTGTTGCCTCCCCCCCTCCTCAGGTGAGTGTTGCCTCCCTCCCCCCCCCCTCAGGTGAGTGTTGCCTCCCTCCCCCCTCCTCAGGTGAGTGTTGCCTCCCCCCTCCTCAGGTGAGTGTTGCCTCCCCCCCCTCCTCAGGTGAGTGTTGCCTCCCCCCCCCTCCTCAGGTGAGTGTTGCCTCCCCCCCCCTCCTCAGGTGAGTGTTGCCTCCCCCCCCCTCAGGTGAGTGTTGCCCCCCCCCCCCCCCCCTCCTCAGGTGAGTGTTGCCTCCCTCCCCCCCCCCTCCTCAGGTGAGTGTTGCCTCCCCCCCCCCTCCTCAGGTGAGTGTTGCCTCCCCCCCCCCCCCCTCCTCAGGTGAGTGTTGCCTCCCCCCCCCCTCCTCAGGTGAGTGTTGCCTCCCCCCCCCTCAGGTGAGTGTTGCCTCCCCCCCCCCCCTCAGGTGAGTGTTGCCTCCCCCCCCCCCTCCTCAGGTGAGTGTTGACTCCCTCCCCCCCCCTCCTCAGGTGAGTGTTGCCTCCCCCCCCTCCTCAGGTGAGTGTTGCCTCCCTCCCCCCCCCTCCTCAGGTGAGTGTTGCCTCCCTCCCCCCCCCCCCTCCTCAGGTGAGTGTTGCCTCCCTCCCCCCCCTCCTCAGGTGAGTGTTGCCTCCCCCCCCTCCTCAGGTGAGTGTTGCCTCCCCCCCCCTTCTCAGGTGAGTGTTGCCTCCCCCCCCTTCTCAGGTGAGTGTTGCCTCCCCCCCTCAGGTGAGTGTTGCCTCCCCCCCCTTCTCAGGTGAGTGTTGCCTCCCCCCCTCCTCAGGTGAGTGTTGCCTCCCCCCCCCTCCTCAGGTGAGTGTTGCCTCCCCCCCCTCCTCAGGTGAGTGTTGCCTCCCCCCCTCCTCAGGTGAGTGTTGCCTCCCCCCCCTCCTCAGGTGAGTGTTGCCTCCCCCCCTCCTCAGGTGAGTGTTGCCTCCCTCCCCCCCCTCCTCCTCAGGTGAGTGTTGCCTCCCCTCCCCCCCTCCTCAGGTGAGTGTTGCCTCCCCTCCCCCCCCCTCAGGTGAGTGTTGCCTCCCCTCCCCCCCCTCCTCAGGTGAGTGTTGCCTCCCCCCCCTACTCCTCAGGTGAGTGTTGCCTCCCCCCCCTACTCCTCAGGTGAGTGTTGCCTCCCCTCCCCCCTCCTCAGGTGAGTGTTGCCTCCCCCCCCTCCTCAGGTGAGTGTTGCCTCCCCCCCCTCCTCAGGTGAGTGTTGCCTCCCTCCCCCCCCCCCCTCCTCAGGTGAGTGTTGCCTCCCTCCCCCCCCCTCCTCAGGTGAGTGTTGCCTCCCTCCCCCCCTCCTCCTCAGGTGAGTGTTGCCTCCCTCCCCCCCCCCCCTCCTCAGGTGAGTGTTGCCTCCCCCCCCCTCCTCAGGTGAGTGTTGCCTCCCCCCCCCTTCTCAGGTGAGTGTTGCCTCCCCCCCCTTCTAAGGTGAGTGTTGCCTCCCCCCCCCTTCTCAGGTGAGTGTTGCCTCCCCCCCTCCTCAGGTGAGTGTTGCCTCCCCCCCCCTTCTCAGGTGAGTGTTGCCTCCCCCCCTCCTCAGGTGAGTGTTGCCTCCCCCCCTCCTCAGGTGAGTGTTGCCTCCCCCCCCCTCCTCAGGTGAGTGTTGCCTCCCCCCCTCCTCAGGTGAGTGTTGCCTCCCCCCCTCCTCAGGTGAGTGTTGCCTCCCCCCCTCCTCAGGTGAGTGTTGCCTCCCCCCCTCCTCAGGTGAGTGTTGCCTCCCTCCCCCCCCCCCCCTCCTCCTCAGGTGAGTGTTGCCTCCCCTCCCCCCCTCCTCAGGTGAGTGTTGCCTCCCCTCCCCCCCCCCTCAGGTGAGTGTTGCCTCCCCTCCCCCCCCTCCTCAGGTGAGTGTTGCCTCCCCCCCCTACTCCTCAGGTGAGTGTTGCCTCCCCTCCCCCCTCCTCAGGTGAGTGTTGCCTCCCCCCCTCCTCAGGTGAGTGTTGCCTCCCTCCCCCCCCCTCCTCCTCAGGTGAGTGTTGCCTCCTCTCCCCCCCTCCTCAGGTGAGTGTTGCCTCCCCTCCCCCCCCCTCAGGTGAGTGTTGCCTCCCCTCCCCCCCCTCCTCAGGTGAGTGTTGCCTCCCCCCCCTACTCCTCAGGTGAGTGTTGCCTCCCCTCCCCCCTCCTCAGGTGAGTGTTGCCTCCCCCCCCTCCTCAGGTGAGTGTTGCCTCCCCCCCCCTCCTCAGGTGAGTGTTGCCTCCCCCCCTCCTCAGGTGAGTGTTGCCTCCCTCCCCCCCCCTCCTCAGGTGAGTGTTGCCTCCCTCCCCCCCCCTCCTCAGGTGAGTGTTGCCTCCCTCCCCCCCCTCCTCAGGTGAGTGTTGCCTCCCCCCCCCTCAGGTGAGTGTTGCCTCCCCCCCCCTTCTCAGGTGAGTGTTGCCTCCCCCCCCCTTCTCAGGTGAGTGTTGCCTCCCCCCCCCCTTCTCAGGTGAGTGTTGCCTCCCCCCCTCCTCAGGTGAGTGTTGCCTCCCCCCCTCCTCAGGTGAGTGTTGCCTCCCCCCCCTCCTCAGGTGAGTGTTGCCTCCCCCCCTCCTCAGGTGAGTGTTGCCTCCCCCCCTCCTCAGGTGAGTGTTGCCTCCCCCCCTCCTCAGGTGAGTGTTGCCACCCTCCCCCCCCTCCTCCTCAGGTGAGTGTTGCCTCCCCTCCCCCCCTCCTCAGGTGAGTGTTGCCTCCCCTCCCCCCCTCCTCAGGTGAGTGTTGCCTCCCCTCCCCCCCCCCTCCTCAGGTGAGTGTTGCCTCCCCCCCTACTCCTCAGGTGAGTGTTGCCTCCCCTCCCCCCTCCTCAGGTGAGTGTTGCCTCCCCCCCCTCCTCAGGTGAGTGTTGCCTCCCCCCCCTCCTCAGGTGAGTGTTGCCTCCCCCCC